ATGTTTAGCCTCAATTGCTCTCCACAACCCCCTCAGTCTTGTATCTTTGCCTTCAAAACAAGCACCTCATGGATGGTGATTTTGTGTGTGTGTGTGTGTGTGTGTGTGTGTGCGTGTATGTATGTATGTATATATATATATAATTTTTTAATTCAAATTACAAACAAGCTTGTTTTACATGTCAATCCCAGTTCCCTTACCCTCCCCGCCTCTCCTGTCCCCCATCCCAACCCCTATTCCATCCCCTTTCTGCTCCCCAGGGAGAGTGAGACCTTTCATGGGGGAGTCTTCAAAGTCTGTCATATCATTTGGAGCAGGGCCTAGGCCCTCCCCTATGTGTCTAGGCAGAGAGAGTATCCCTCTGTGTGGAATGGGCTCCCAAAGTCCATTCGTGTACTAGTGATAAATACTGATCCACTACCAGAGAGGCCTCATAGACTGCCCAGTCCTCCTAACTAATACCACATTCAGGTGGTCTGGGTCAGTCTTATGGTGGTTTCTCAGCTATCAGTCTGGTGTCCATGAGCTTCCCCTTGTTCAGGTCAGCTGTTTCTGTGGGTTTCTCCAGCCTGGTTTTTACCCCTTTGCTCATCACTCCTCCCTCTCTGCAACTGGATTCCGGGAGTCCAGCTCAGTGTTTAGCTGTGGGTGTCTGCTTCTGCTTCCATCAGCTACTGGATGAGGGCTCTAGGATGGCATATAAGGTAGTCATTCTAACACTGCAAAGTTCTGCTACCAGCTCCACATTTAGCCCTCCCAGGCCCACAGTCATAATGAGCTTCTGTGTGTTGACTCTGAGGCAGTGGCTTTAAAGACCAGGGAACCCTTTAACTTAAGACTTTCAGAACCCAACAAGACGAAGCTTCTGATGGGTGGTTCTTGCCTTCGAGACAGCCTTCCCAGCACAGGAGGCTTCACCACAACGGCACCAATTTAGCTAGCTGCTTCATAAGCACCAGCACAAACATTACCCTGCCTTGAAATGGTTTCGTGTAGATGAAGCACTTTGCCATGTTCTCCCTTAAACCCACTCGAGCTCTCAGGACACAGGCAAAACGCCGCCAGATTCTTGGCCACAATGGCCCCAGTCCAGTTACTGATATAGTCCTTGTTGCACTAGGAATTTTTCTCAGCTTTACTGACTTCCCGCGGCCTGCTATAATGACCTGTTCTGCTTCCAGCATTCAGTAACTTTTCTAGCCAACAAACCAAATGTTTCCTCATTCCTTCCACAAAGCAGTTCCAAAGGCTTAACAGCCACATGGTCAGGTTTAATGTATCAACAACCCTGCTCTCAGTACAATTAAAAGTAGCCTTCACAAGTCCCAAGACTAGGGGCCTTCACTTTCCTTTGTGCTACCCCAGTGTGCAGAACTTTTCATCCGTTTTGGTGGCTGACTTCCTCCTGTTTCAGTGCTGGTTACTGTTGGGGACTTCTCACTGGGCTTTATCTAAAATTCCTCTGTAGTCACACTGCACTCCAGAAGAGAAGAGGCCTAACCCACTGTGATCTCCCTGCAGGTGTGGTCCCTGTGAGGCCGGCCTACTCTCAGCCCTTGCCAAGCTCCATCCTGGTCATGGTGGTACTATGTGTATTCGGAAACCTGGGCTCACATTGGTGTTCCTGAGGGATGTGGGAGTTTAGGTCCGAAGGCTGTAGGTCTCCTAAAGGGGATTAGTGCCCTTATAAACTGACAGACACCTGTGACCTCGGAATTGATGCTCACACAATGCTATTCTCCAGAACAGTGAAAAAGCAGTGTTTGCTACCCATACAAACACTATTAGCTTAAGCTCTTTTGTCCTAAATCAGAATGCACCAAGACAGAGTCCCACCTCGGCACGTTATTTCCACATCAAAATGGAAAGTGGATGAACAGGGTAATCCCAGCGAAGAAACCCCAGAGGGCACTGTTGCTTTTACTGCCTGACTGCAGAACTCCGTGATCCGAAATATCACTGAATACGACTCAGTGGACTCAGAAAGCCCAAGTGCCCCGTGAACCTTCTGCTCACAGGCTTGCTGGCCTGATTTGGTTCCCAATGTAGTGGGCCTGAGTCTCCCTCCTTGGGGAAGAAAGGCCAGGCAGAGGCAGCCCTTAGCTGACTTCTGGCCACTTGGATCTCAGTGTTCCCCTCCTTCCACTATGGAACCTTGGAGTTTGAGCTGTGCCACAGAAGGCACCTCTATGACCCCAAGAAAAAGCTGGGTTCCAGATTAGCTGAGCCTCCCTGGAAGACTGGACCGCTTACCTGGATGAAACCAGGCCTGTGTTGCCTCCTCTGGAGATGCTTAGAAGCAGGTTTTTTTTGTAGCTGTTTCTATGGGTGGGCCCTGACCTGGCTAGTTTCCTGTCAACTTGATGTAAGCTGGAGTCATCTGAAAGAAGGGAACCTCAATTGAGAGGATACCTCTCTTAAGATTGTGCTATAAGGCAAGCCTGTGGTGTTATCTTTCTCATACAAATAAAGCCTGTCGGGGGTCAGAGAAAGGAGATTGCTACTAGCTAACCATAGAGGTCTGTCCAGACAGATAGGAAGTGAGGTCACTGGGCAGAAACAGGATCTAAGCAGGGGGAAACAGGAAATCAACTCTGCTGAACTGCTTAGGGGGTAAGATGTGTGGTGGCTTCTCTCTGATCTTTCAACATTTCCCTCTATATCTGACTCAGGCCTTTTATTATCTAGACCAATTAAGAACTCCATTTACACAGGTCTGTACGGGCATTTTATTTTCTTAATTAGTGATTGATGAGGGCCCTGCCCATTGTGGATGGAAATATCCCTGGGCTGTTGGTCCTGGGTTGCAGAAGAAAGCAGGCTGAACAAGCCAGTAAGCAACACCTCTCCATGGCCTTGGCATCAACTCCCACCTCCAGGCCCCTGTCCTGACTTCCCTCGTTGATGGACTGTAAACTGAAATAAACCCTTTCCTCCCCAAATTGCTTTGGTCATGGTGTTTGAGCACAGCAATAGTGACCCTAACTAGGCCTCACTGCTGCATCTCCACGCCGTTATTTGGCGCTGGCTGGTGGGGTAGGAAAAAACTCAAAAAGAAAGTCTTTAAAGACCTCCCAGTAAGACACCAACATCTGAGGGAGAACAATGGCAAGCAGAGGACTTCAATGAGCAAACCTGCTACCACGCAAGGTGACAGCAAACCAACAGTAACATGAGCCCGGGCACACTGCCTGTCGGGTTGGACACAAAAGCACAAGGTCATTCTACCAAACAACTAACCCACACCCTGTAAGGGAAGACATCACAAGACAGGCAGCCTGGGCAGCACTGGCTGAGGATGTCACCGTGCCATTTGGCAGTGAGGTGCTTCCAATGGTTATGGCTCAGCGGCCTTCTAGTCTCAAGGTCATACACGTAACTAAGACCCATTTGTAGGAGAGACTCACGGTTGCTACAATTCTCCCTCCCGTGGCAAGAGGAACATAAGCAGAGTCTACCCCTCCTAGGAGTCCGATGACAAGCTTCAACTCCACAGTTCTACCTGGTTCATTCTGGGGAGCCAGTGCCAAGTCTTTAACCAGCAGATGGCTTTCCCGCAGCCACTTAGGTGGAGGGGCCCCCACCCTGGCCTTCTCCAGCCCCACCCTGAGACTGTTACAATGTGTCATATGGTATAGCTGGACACTCAGATGATGGTCCTGTGACCCTCCCCCAGGGGATGTCAACAGTCAACAGGCCCAGCTGGAATGATCTTTTGTGACTATAACAGATGCTCAACAGCACAGTCCAAGTACATTACATACACAGGAAGGAAATTCTACTCCAAGAACACTGCCTGGACAATGAGTAAGAGGCAGACATTGCAGACAGTCATAAGCAGGTGTCATGTCTGGCCCACATGTGTGCACACTGATCAGGAATATTCGTCAGCTGTCAATTCTGAGCATGAGGCTGTTCAATACCAAGGGCTGACAGGGAGAGCTGCACAAAGCCCTCCCTCTGGACATGGTCACAGCACTGCTGGGAAGGGTAAGTGTGAGCAGCTATCACACCTGGAAGCCAGGCAGGGGGCTGCACAGCTCCATCCTGCTCTGCCTCTCCATTCTTAGGCACGGAAAAGTTGATGGCTCAGCCAGCAGAGGTTGGTTCTGTGCTAACGCCAAGTCAAGGATCCAGCACATCAGTCCAGTCTGTAGTACCTCACGGAAGCAGGAAGCCTCTCAGGACACACTGGCCAACAACTCCATGGTAGCCCTGCTTCAATGCTTACACCAGAGACAACAAGGCTTGGCTTTCTCTCCCGTTAGCCAACTAAGAACAAATTAAAAAGTCACATACAGACACGTCATCATAATAGCTCTTTATTTCATGACCCAAGTAAGCGCAACCCCACTTAAAGCACCAGCTAGGTAAGCACAGAACTGTCCCCCACAACTACCATCATGATTCACCAGTCTTCACTCCAGGATCGCTTACTTCACCCCTTTACCACAAAGGCACAGAAGTCACCTGAGGTCTCAGGCGACAGACAGCATCACCGCATGGCGCACCAATGTGCAGTCCAAATGTTATTAAAGCATAGAGTCATCTCCTAAAGAGTTGTTGTTTTTACTATAAATAAAATTTAAAAGACTAGGCCAATACTGGCCCAACAAGGGACCCAATTTCTGCAAAGGCTGTTTCGCATCAGCCTTTAGTAGCAGAAACATGGATCCAATCTGCCAGAGCGACTCCTAAATGCTATAAAACAACTCTCCCGAGACTGTTGCCACCAACCCGTGTACAGGCCCCAACAATACACTTCGCAGCTAAGGACATTTTGGATTTCATCTCCAGCAGCAAGGGACGCTGGCAGTTCAGTGTGTGGAGACATCTTCACCGGGACGGCTCAGCTGCTGCTGGGTCACCAGTAACGGTGTCTGGGATGCAGGCATCTTGTGTTGTCTGCTCGGCACCCTCATCGTTTTCAGGCTGCTCTGGGCTGGTTACACTCTCATTGGTAAGAATGACCCCATCTTTTTCTTTTCTCCCAACACCTCCAAGCCCATCATCCTGAGATAATGAAGTCGCTCATTCTTGGGCACAAAAGTTCGAATAGAAGCCTTTCCCCGCCACCCACACAGCACAATGGGGCACTGGAGGGCATCTGGATTCCTGCCAACAAAGAAGGTCCCATGTAAGCATTCAGCATCCCATTGGCTACGCCTAAGGACAGACGTGCAACTTCTCAAAACAAACAAAAAGAACAGCTGTACCCAACTCCTCCAACTCCTGCCACGGATGCAATCAGTTTGTTGTTCCTCCCACTCTGGAACTCCCCAAAGGGCAAAGCCTGAAGATGCTGTAGCTGGGACCCTCCTGCCCTTCCCTCCAAGTTTTGGGTTACACGTGACCTACAGCATCTAGTTACTCATCCAACAGTGAGGCATATACACTTACGCAGAATCCGGTTCATACTTCAGCACAACACTTCCCTTTGCTGGAGGAAAAGAGAAACAGTTGCATGTACCAAGGCTTCCACTTAGTGGGTACAGCTAAGATGTATATGCTGTTCTTCAGAGGACAACTCTCAGTGAGGCAGGAGGGCGGAGGCTTAACTACTGGTCAACTCTGAATGCTCCTAGGTCCAGCCTACAGTGACCTGAGAATTGCCATGTCCTAACCTGAAGGCTGGGGTCTGGGCTTTGATCCTAGAACCCAGAGTGTGAGGAAGGAATCAATTACTACAGGGTGTCTTCTGACCTCTACATGCTCACTATGGCACATACATGCCAAACCATCAACGAGAGACATAAAAGAAACCTTCATCTAAGATTTAAAAAAGAAATATAAAGTTCCCGTTTCTTTTTAAATAACCTCTGCTTTGAAAGGAGTTGGAGTGGAAGATAAGAATGTCTAAACTCCGCATTCCTGTGGCTCACACCAGGGTGAGACAAGGCTGTATAAGCTCAGAAGCACGCAGCTGCAGAGAGAGCTGTCTGTACACTCTAGCAGACACTTGTGAGAAGAATGCAAACAAAGGAAAAAAGAGGCTTGGCAAAGACATCACCACCATGACCTAGTGACTTAATGCATTAGTTTAGGAGCTGTAAGAGGATAGTTAGAAACCAAGGCTGCCTGTAGGTCTCAGAAGTAACAGAGGAACCTGAACCCCAGAAGCCTACAAGATCGGTAAGAGTCAAGAGGTGGGCCACACAACCAGGACCCCAGCACTTTATAAACTCAGGGGGTGCTGCCTAGTAGTAGTAGGGTAATACAGAGACAAGGGAAAAACTCCCAAAGAGGAATCGAGTCTTTCATATGAAACGACAAGAATTTGCATAAGGCCCATTTACAGCCTCTGTAACATTAAGTCATCTGCAGGTTAACGTCCTGTCCACAGCTGTTACTCATATTGCTTGCTGTGCAGCCAAGGATGACCCTGAACATCTGACCTTCCTGACTCAGGTCCTAAGTGCCCAGTGTATGTAATTTATGGGGACCAAATGGGGGCCTCTGAAGGCCACACACACAAGGCAGCCTCTGGGTCCCTGCACTCACCCAGGTCTTTGACTTGACTGTAGGCCTCACTGCTGAGTTTTCTGAAGAACGGGTTCTCCTGCGTCAACAGGGTCTTCACATCTTCCATGGACACAGTGATGATTCTTGAATTAATAAACGGATACAATGTATATATCCCCTGTAAGAGAAGGGAAGGAGGGAGAGGAGAGAGACAGAGAGAGTTGTGATCCCATGAGGGCTTTGCTATGAGATTCATGACTTGACTGAAGTCTCTCCCCTGGGTCAGGGCCCTAGAGGCACCCAAGGACCTCTTTCTTAGGAGGCCTGGTCAGCTTCAGCAAGTCTTGAAGTACTGAAATCTAATGACGTGCCGTAAGTCCCTCTTTTGGCTGTCTCCACACCACCATGGCTAGGACTTTCCATTTCCAAATTACCTCCTGTGCCAAACGGAACGCACAGTCAAACTCTTCGCCACTGTTATTGCGACACCAGACTTTTATCCCGGTGTTAATGACCTGGAAGTTAAAAGTGAGATGAAACAGGAATTAAGGACGGACAATTGTTTGCTGCAGCCTCTTCCACTGCTGGGTAACCGGCTGCCTACGAGCAGCTTTGGAAAGCGATGGAAAGCGATGGCCCCTTCTGGAACTGGTTTCCAAGAATCAACTCAGTTCCAACTGCTCATGACAACAATTAAACACAAGAGTAAGTCACACATGTCTCTATGCATCAAAACAGAGGCACTCAGGGTCACTGCCGCAACAGCCCAGCATACCCAAGAGGAGCCGAACAAGGCAGTTCACCACAGCACTGCTAGGAAGCACAGCCACTGGGCTCAAACCCAAGGAAAACTGTCTTGGGAGAAAACAAAATGGGGGCACTGCGACCTGCCCCCCCCCCCCCCCCGAGAAAACCGGCGTGGGTATGCACAGCTCTGCTCGTGCCTCGACGCGCCCTCACCTTCATCTTCTCGCTGTTGTTCAGCAGAACATTCCTCAGCTCCTTGGAGACCATGTAAAGCTGCCGCTTCTTCCCTTCTGTAGTTCGAGTCAACAAATTCATCCTCGGGAAGGAAGGATCCAAGGCGTAAAACTTCCTGTCAACGAAGCGACACGGTTTACACAGTCAGCCCAGGACAGACACCTCCGAACCTCACTTCCAGACATAGTCCAGCTTGTCTCAAAGCACAAGCAGGGTGTACCTGCAGGACAGCCAGGCCAAGGGCTGTTCCAGGAGCAGCTCTCTACCAATTATTACTCCGATGACAAGGAGCCCAGACTCCCACACTAGGCCAAACATTAACACTTTTACAGTCCATGCTTTTCTGTCCCTGTGCAAGGTAATTCCACCAATACCCAGACTGACACTCTTCTCCATTACCCAACAAGAGCAGACTGGGAGCAGTGGCCACTGCCTCTACACGCAACCGAGAGAGAGGAACCAAACTGGGTCCCAGTTGACTGCTCTTCTGCCGCCCTCAAATGCGGGTGGTAAGGCTGGCACGCCTCTTCAGTGCTATCCAGCTCTAAGCTGCGATCAGGAGGAAGGGTCTAACTTCAAGACACCAGCTGTATGCGACTGGTGATGCATTTAAGGTGGGATTCAAGCGGCAGAACCCTTACTCAATAGGCGGGAACAAAGGGTCATCTTCAGGAATGAACACAAATGGATCTTCTTTAAATCCAAACAACTTCATTTTCTTTGATGGAGGAGGGCTGGGGAGGGAATATGGAGGTGGTAAGGCCATCAGCAAGTATGGCAGGAGCATCCACCCCACAGCACTCTGCCTGCCCCACCCAGCACCCGGTCCTGAACTGTAGAGCTGAATCCCAGTCAACACCGAGTGCTGGAAGCAGCTGTGGGTGCTCTCTAACCTGCAGAGCCTAACTCACAATCTGTGCTATGTCCTCGGTCCCTGGAAATTTCCACGGCCGAGGCTCTGGGATTCCATTTAGTTTACATGCCCAGATGTGGCTTTCCTCACCCACACACGCCATCTTTCTTCTCATTACACTCTGTGTTCTCGGTGCTATGTGTCACTTCTGAGCCACCAGCTCCGGTGGTCAGCTGCCCGTCCAGTTCTGAGGGGTCACCAGGATTCCTCTCTGTGGTTCCCACACTGCTGGATGCTCTGGTCTCCCTGGGCTCTGAAGATTTACTCTGCACCTGTCGAGGGGAACAAGTTCATTTTCACAATAAAGCAACAACACACTTCACCACTGTAAGAAATTAAAGCTACCATGTTTATGTCAACCAGATGTGCTTTTCTATGGCATTAGACATTTTTGAGTTTGCTCTTTCAATTGAGGTTTGCAGGCTCTGTTCACGTGGAGGTGACTGAGAAGAGATCCATGAAGAACACCAAGGCTGCCCTTGGCAAAGGTCTACTGAGTCAGCCTGCTCTTACTCATTAACCTTGTGCCTGCTCTGGGTAAGGCACAAGTTCAAAAGAAAGTGAGATTGCTAACCAGGGGCACATGAAATTTAACCAAAAGGGGGGTGTGTGGGAACTGCTCCAAGGGGTGAGTAATTAGGAAGAACATTCTTCCAAGGCTTCAGGAACTGGGGGAAATGAAAAAGGGGAGCAACCACAATATACAACTGGCTTGGAGTAGAAGCAAAAGGTTTTAGTTACATGTTGAAACTTACAAGTTTCTTAGTATTCTAGCTCACCTGCCCAACAGGCACACAGCCCAGGACTCAACCACTAGCAACACCAAACAATCTACAAAGCCTTTGTGCATGTCAGAAGATCTGTAAGACTGGAGCTTCCAAGGGGCTGGAGAGATGGTTCAGGGATTAAGAGCATTGGCTACTCTTCTAGAGGTCCTGAGTTCAATTCCCAGCAGCCACATGGTGGCTCACAGCCATCTATAATGAGATATGGTACTCTCTTCTGGCCTGCAGGCAAACATGCAGGCAAGACACTGTATACATAATAAATAAAATCTTTAGAAAAAAAAAAGTGTATCTTCCAATTCCACCGTCAGATTACAATTTAGGATGCTACTGTACTGTGCAGGCAAGTTCCGAAGTCACAGCAACAGTGTCAAGAGACTGCTCCAACAGCCCACTGTAAGTGTTTCTGAAAAGACACAGCAGTGTCTATGTCTGTGGCTGTAATTCTGAGTGTTCTCTGTTCCCCAGGACTGACTAGTAAGACACAACCTGACGAGAATCGTACCCCCAGCAGTACCCCAGCTCTCTCTCCCACACACACACACGCATATGCACAGACACGCATGCACATACACAGAAACGGGGGTGGGGGCAGACATGCTAACATGGAACCCTGCAAATGACAGCTCATCCAAGGGGAAAGGCCCCATCACACTGCAGGAGTGGGAAGCCTGAGGCACTTCAGTGCAGGCCCATCTACAGCACACTCACAACAGCACTGGACTGTTCCCAACAGCGCAGAACCACCAGCTAGCTATGGGTCCAGAGCATGGGGAAGAAAAAAAAAAAAACGCCACAAGTACAAACAAAGACGCAATATTCTCACAGCACACACTGCTGGAACTGGACACAGGACAGACTCTAGTTTCAACCCCAGCTCCAAAGAACTAATTAAATGCATGCCACTGTTAAAACACACTGTAAGACACAAGGCACCCTGCTACTAAACCTAAATGACTCTGTGGAAACAGCATTTGAAATATATGGGCATAAGTAAAATGCCCTAGTTAATTTTACTTCTTTTTTTTTAAAGCACAGTACTGGAAAACAAAGACTGCCAATGGCTGGCATCCTACCTCTATCAGGAAAGAGAACAGTTCTAAGCTTTACTCCCAAGGAGTTAGGATGGCCCCAGAGTTAGGTCCCCACCCTCAAAGTGAGGACCTTCCTAGCCTACAAAATTCATGGTGACACCTAAAAGCACAGGGTCTCTGCCTTCTCTGGCTGAAAACTGGGCCATCTGTAACTGTAGCCAGAGAAGGCTGCAATCCTTTGAGAAAACAGTTCCTTTCTGTTTTTTTCCAAAGCTGAGCAGTTTTAGTCCTAATCCAAGATTGATCTTGAAACAGATGTTTGCGCAACAATTCCAGGCCAAAGTCTCATTTATGAGTCACAACCAATGGCTGGACTAACAGAGAGGAGGGGAACAACATTAAGAGAGGGACCACATATGGGGCCTGGGAAGGCCATGAGACAGCACTTCCCGTGACTGCTCACTGATGACCAGCACATAGAGAGGACAGAACGAACCCCTACCCTATGGTGTAGGACACTGGATGTCAGATTACTCCAGACTCAGAGCCCCTATTCCTACGCATTATCAATCTCATATCATCCCAACTGCTGTTACATGAAATGCAGATGAACCCCCCTTCCTTTACGCTTAGCCTCTCTA